TACTCCGGAATCTTCCAAAAAGGAAACACCATAACAACAACAAAAAACATTGGCACAATAAACATCAAACAGCACCATTCCGCCGCCTCCCCGCCAACGGGCGAGACCCCCGGGAAGAGAGGACACGACTTCCGGAGTCCAATTAGAGATATATAGCCTACTTCCTATAATCTCTAGCAAAATTACATCCAATTAGAGAAATGTACAGTAAACTGATAAGGACGTCCAAGTAGTGAGTAAATTTAACCCGCAGAACTGAGTTCATATATATGTGATAAATAATGGAAAGCATCTTCTGGGGCTTATCTATCTAACCTAATAATCCCACATTCCTGTTATAACCCCTAGAGCTACTCCGGAATCTTCCAAAAGGGTACAGAATGCACTAGATGTGACGACCTAGCTACCGTTGGAATCTCACAGCAGGGAAACAACATGGAACCACCATGACAAGAAAAAAAATACAACAAAATTGGCACACTAAACCCCAGTGAAACAGCAGCATTGCGTCGCCTCCCCGCTCATCACCGCCAAGGACCGAGACCGAGGGGACGCGACTTCCGGAGCCCAAACCCTACCGCGTCAGCCCCGCGCTCTCGCCCCCAGCGCGAACCAAGCAAGGAGCGCCCCAGGAACGCCCAGAACTGCAACACGGCGCGGAGAAGAGCGGCACTGAAGGCAGGCAGGCAAGGGGGAGGGAAGAGAACGGACCGAAGAGGGGACGACCCGGCGCCGGCGACCGGGGCCCCTCGAATGCAGGCAGGGAGGCGGCCGCGCCGGATCGAACCGCGGGCGGAGGCGGGGGAGGGGGCGGGGGCGGGGGCGGATCCGGCGGGGAGGGGTTCCTGGCCGGTGTTCCGGGGAGGAGCTGGTTGATTTGGCTCCGGTTTGATTTGATTTTGGAGAGAGAGAGTGTGGGGGGAGGAAAGGAAGGGGGAGGCGGGGCCTATGATAAAATGAAATTATCAGCGCGGCGTGTACCGGCGCTGCAAAGCTGCAAGTTGCGAGCAGGGAGGACCCCCCGCCCCAGTGCCTGTCCGTCCTTTGTGTCCACGGCGCCGACGGGCCTGACTGACTGCCTGCCTGCCTGGAGTCTGGTCCAGTGCGCGCGTGCTTGTCCACGGATCTCCCGGTTTTACCCCTCACGGGATGGGGTGAGCGGTGCCGTCGCACAGTATCTCCGGGCACCACCCTCACATTGGAATATGGAAGACCTGCTAGTAAATCAACGAGTAGCCTCGGGCAGTAATTTCTTTACTGACTGACTTCAACTACCCATGTGTCGAGGGGCCTAGTTAACCTGGAAGGAGGGAGCAGTTGGTTAATTCATCTCGTGTGACGGCGAGCTCAGTAAGAATGTAGCCGTTGTTTAATTCACCTGCTGCACAAAGGCATTGATATGCGCACTTCTAGGGTATCTAAACACGGTCGGCAACAAAGTAACGCCACAAACAGGCGATGTTACCACTGTAATGCAGTTTACTACTACTAGTTGCCAGCAACACGAGGCAGTGGCGCTGGAAATGTCTTTTTGTTTTTCTGCCATGTTCTCCAGCGAATATCAACCAAAACAACACCATTTCGTCTATCATAGTCAACACAAAAGGGTGGGACAAAAATGTGTCAACACAAAATACACAATGGCATCTCAATCTAATCCTGATCAACACCTCATCCACAAAGTGTTCTACTCTTGGCTTATTTTCGGTGTACCAAAAAATCCCCAGCATTTGCTCGATGAAGGGCAAGATTTTTCCCACGGCGCAGTTAACTACTCATACAAGCCAGCCACACTTGCGTCGGACACCGGCTTTGACGAACAGACGCAAGGCAAGACGGAAAGAGCAGCTTTGAGGATAACAACAGCATCTCATCCAACGATGTAATCCTACTCCCCGGCCTTCTCCTCCTTGGCAATGTGGAAGCCTTCAATCTTACACGCAATCTCCTCTGCTCCAGCCTTGGGCTTACCATTTGTATCGATCGCCTCCTCAGCATCCGCGTTAGGTGGGCTCAGCTGCCAGATCCGAATAGTACCATCTTCCGACCCTGAGGCGTATGATTCACCACCAGGTGCAAACCGGACGCAGTGAACTGGACCATGATGCCCTTTGTTACAAGCTGCACAATACAACAATGCTCGGCTATGTCAGCATGGCAAAGTGTAATTGATAGAAAAAGGAACCAATAATAACTTCTGAAAAGTATACAATTGAAGCACAATCAAACCAGTAACATGACAATACTGCAACATAAATACCATCAAATAGTCGATGCAGAATATCAAAAAACACATGAAATAATGATGAGTGAAAATAGTACTCCAACATATTGATGAATCTCATCATTGAAATATAGAACAACATCTTTGATCCATTTCCAATGTTCCTTTTCAACTGCTTTATCTATAATACAGATATCGCAGCAATAACTACAAGGTGCAACAAATTGTACTGCATGAATTCCTTTTCAGAGTTAATGACAAGTGAAACAAGAATGACCAGCTAAATGTAGAATAAAAGCTCGCCATTCAAGGAGATTAACTTCTGAACGCAGAATTTCAGTTTCATGGTCTTAATTGTAACTGACAGCAGATTTCATGTGCGGAAGCTACAGATAAGATGAAACCAAAGTAACATGTGGTTCTGGTGTTTCTGTTTGGATAATGCAAAGTTGCAAACCACGCTGATTGAAAAGAATGGACGATTAAATGTTCAAATAGATTGACTTACTTATTTCTTCACCAGTAAGGAAATCAAATACATGAACCCACATATCTTCTCCTCCAGCAATGAATTTGCTGCCAGACTTTGGTTCAAGTGAAGCCGACTCCACAATAAACGACATATCATAGCTTTTAACAAGCCCAAAGCTGCAGGGTAACCACCAAAAGGTTTGTACGTAAGGAATCGGTCTATTCATATGATGCAGAAAAATGTCAACAGAAAAAGACTTACTGATTAGCATCCCAAAATTTTACACTTGAGCCATCAGCTGTGGTGATGAACCTGCCATCCTGGCTTACTTCTGCACTGGTAACAGGTCCCTTGGTTTCAAGAGTTTGGACAATTTTTTCACTCCTCACATCCCATAACCTGTCAAAACCCAATAGTAGTTATTCGAGACGGACAATGCTACATAGCCAACCAGTACATGTTTAGGATACCAAAATAGAGGCATTTCCTCCACAGACACACAAACACACCTTACTCCACCCGTATCAGTGCAGGAACTCAGTATAGTTTGGTCATTATGAAGCCAAGCAACAGTTCGGACAGAACCAGGTGATTTGTCAAGTTCTTTCGGAGCAACATCTGGTTTGTTCAAATCATATACACGCAAAATCTTTTCCATACCTCCAGTAAGCAACAGGTGGGTATCCTGCAGTGACATTTGCAATTTAATTAGGTTAAAAACTGCTCATGGAAGACAACAATTGGGTAAAACATGTAAAACGGTCCAGATTTCAGAAACCAATGTTCACTTTTGATAGCTAATATATTTTAGGCAGGAATGAAAAATTAGATTAGATCAGGCTCTAATTTAGTAGACCATAAAGGTGTTATAACAACCAACATTAGGAACAAAAAGGGATACAGCAGGGCATCAGTTTGAACAAGCAATACCTTAGAAAAGGCACATGCACGGACTATATGCTTGTGTTCAAATGAATGTAGTTCATCACCTGTTAGTGCATCCCATACTTTACTGAGAAGAAAAGAAAATGGAGAAGGTGTCAATGGATATGTCAATGAAAACAGCAAGCTAAACTCAGGAATATGAAGATGGGGCAATCTATGAGTATTAACATTAGAGAACTATGGTGCTTGCTGCATTATTTCTTGCAAGCATGCTTGTCTTATTGTCCTGCACACACTTGCAACAGATCTTTCATTGAATCCATTTTGTACTAAGCCCTGGTTTTGCATCTAGAATATATACTTGCAACGGAAGAAATTTGAGAGAACAATCTGTGATTTATGTATATGCACATTGACCTACTTATGAATGCCCATTAATTCCTAAGTAGACTTAAGTAGTACTACAATATTTTACTATGCTGTTTGATTCTTTGGGCCTTTGTACCATAAATGCAGCCAACAGTGGACAAGACTACCAAATTAGCATACCATGTGCAGTTTAATGGCTATAAGTGGAATTTGGTTAAGTAACTTTGCAATATTCCAATCAAGATGCAAGAAAACATGCAGTTATTGCGGTACCAGACACACATTAGTGCACTATCCATACGTTTCGTCCACGGACGTAGCCTCTTTCCCACCCCCGCCTCCACACAACCTAACTGGCTCACATACGACCCGCCACCACCACACAATGCCCCCTTCAATCCCGCGTCCGATAGCACCATCAACACCCACACCCTAATTTAGTATTACAGTCCAGGCCTCAAGGATCCTGGTGAACCAGCCCTATCAAATTGGACCTCAATCCTAACCCTGCCACCAGCAGCAACTTTTGTCTAAGAAGAACACTGCCATTGCGGGAGAAGATAAGGAGCGGAGAGGTGGCAAAACGACTGAGCGAACATGCTACCACCAGCACAGAAGCATTACACAGAAAATAAAAGGACACAATACATAGAATAAGCATCAATTGATACAGTAATAAGGATATATTCCACTTATGAGTAAACTAACTGGAACCAAACAATGCATAAGAAAATCATACGCTGAAAAGTCTGCTGAACCAGAGGCAGCACGCAGAGCATTTGTGTCAAGGCAACAGCTCCAAACAGCACCTTTATGACCTTCAAAAGTCCCAATCCAATCTCCAGTCTCACCATTACGAAGCATTGGATTTGAGTCTGCAAAGGAAGTACACAATATTAGCTATATTTGATAGCCAGCAATCAAACAAGACAGTACATTTCTCTAACACATATTTAAGTTTACTACAGGGTAGAATCTCAAGTGATATGCTTTAAAGCTTACATTTCTCTCTTTTCCAGTATTTGTAGTATTAATATCAAGCAAAAATTGAAACAAAACATCTTCTATCATTCATGTTACAATATCCCAATACTTATAACAAAATACATGTATTGGTTATTGTTCAACTCAAAGACAAAAACATCTTTTAATCATTCACTTATTAATTCAAAATTAAAATAATTCGTGTAAATCTAGAAGATACATGCATTTACATTCACTTATTAATTCAAAATTAAAATAATTCATGTAAATCTAGAAGATACATGCATTTACATAAAAACAAATGGGATGACATCTGCTAGAGATGCAAATAGATGCAGATCCAGTCCCTCTTTTGTCAAATATGGGAATATTTGTTTTGAATCTAACACTGTTCAGTGTATATAGATTTTGCAGCAGTACAAGTTTGAGACATCAAAATACACAACCAGATCAATGCACAAAATAGATGTTTAATAATCTATGTATAGTTATCCATAACTTAGTATTTTATACCTGTCCTCATAGGTCCATGTTCATTTTTAGTATTAGTGTTCTTATATTGCTTGTAGCTATGGACACAAACATGGCTTTCATACTTGTATGGTTTGACTCCATCACAACTGTGACAGCTTAATGGCGTGTACGAAAAATGAATGGTGAGTATAACACACAATTACAAACCCTCGTTTGAACAGACTTGAATTTACTACTTTCCGGACAATTCAGGAACAGAATAATTCTGTCCAACGTAATAACCATCAATAAGTAGGCGATCCAAACTAATTCTTTAGAGCTGGCATCTAGCCTTGGAGACTACGAGTACACATGTGAGCTTGTGTGTGGTTGGTGGGGCGGGGATTTGTTGCTTCATAGATATCTTGACTAGCAGTGTGGCCATAAGACTTAAAAACATACAAATAATTTGAGACGAGTCACAAACTAAGAGGCCACAACTAGAACAAGAGTGACATGATGAGTACATTGAGACGCTTAGTCCTCCAAATCTGACCTACATGGTAAAAACTGCGCTACGTGGCAACAAACAAACGCAAGATACACTAAATGAAAGCAATAAATATAGCATCACCATCGGGGTAATAAACTGTTGAGATATCTCGTAACATTCCACCCTTTCTATCTCAAATATCTAAGTTCACATGATTGTGGGATACAGTAGTCATCCTACTTACCAAAATTACAAAATATCAACACATTAGGTAACCATAATCCCTACTAGCTTCCACCCTTCCTATTTCAAACATTTCAAGTTCACATGATAAAGGAAAGCAGTAGCCGTCCTACTTATCACCCAAATTACAAACTATAGAATATCAATACATTGGATAAAGTTACCATTCATATTGGTACAAACCACCTTTAACTGGACAATCAATCGCAATGAGATAACTAAATGGAACATTAAATCCCGATAGAACCCACGGCACTGGCCATTACTCATCCGCCAAAACAGAATTCGTCTCATCACAAGCACACTAGCGAACGCATCATCCATTCCACTGCGCAATAGAATCGCACAACTAACTGTTGCCCTCGCATCACAAGCCACGGCTAGAGCGGGCGAGAGGGCGGATGGCTTACCCTTGCTGGCGCTGATGAGGAAGTAGCCGTCGGGCGTGACGGGGCTGTAGAACAGGTCGACGACCGGCCGCGAGTGGCCGTGGCAGACCAGCGGCACCGCCGCCTTCTTCTTCTCCATCTCAGCCCCTCCCCACTCTAACCCTAACCCTATCGACCGGCTCCGGCGGCGCGCGATCGGCTCCCAACCCTAGCCCCTACGAACGAACCAAGAGAATCGAATCGAAGCAAGATAAATTGGGGGAAGTCAGATGTGAATTGTGGCGCGGATCGGCGGCGGGGGCGGATGGGGACGAGGATGATCTGGGTCAGTGGGGGTAGATTTGTACGCGGATTTATTATTTGTTAGAGCAGTGGGTTCGAGCCCGGAGGCCGGCCTAGGGGCACTAGGCGAAAGGGTGGGGAAGGAGGAGCGAAGGGGGGAGGCCGCTTTATATAGACCACACCGACTAGCGCCGAACTTGCTGGGAGATGCTGTTGCCCATTCGCGGCCGTGCAGTGCACAGGATGCTCGGCGTTTGGGGATCTTCGGAAAACAAGAAGAAGAAAACATACTACTCCCTTTCTTTCTTTTTACTCCCTCGGTTCCTAAATACGATCGACTTTAATGCAAGGAGCAATTATAGCCATGCGGCTACCCCGCTCCAAGCGCCTCCAAGCTGGCCGCGGCTAGGCTCCACCCCTCAAATCCTAACTAAATATGCTTTATAAGGTCTCAAACCAAAGCCTAAAACTTTAATGCAAGGAGCAATGATAGCCATGCGGCTACCCCGCTCCAAGCGCCTCCAAGCTGGCCGCGGCTAGGCTCCACCCCTCAAATCCTAACTAAATATGCTTTGTTAGGTCCCAAACCAAAGCCTAAAACTCTAGTCGATGACTAAATTGAATGTGTGAATGGTATAATCAATGTGTTAATCGACTGCGAGAATGGTAATCAATGCGTAAATCAATGCCATCAGGAACAGAGCCCTTGCCGCCATTGATGAATGTGTGCCTGAGGGGTGATGAACCCGGTGGTCATCGTCCAGATCTTGCCTTTGATGCTCACCGCCACCGCCTGTCGTCCAGATCTTGTGCTCGTCGTGGCCAACGAGAGAGTGGAGAGAGGCGAGAGTAAGTGGTGAGAGAAGGGTGAGGTGGTTTACGATGTGGCTTCGGAAAACAATGTGGTGTCTCACGTGTGCCTCGCGCATGCAGCCGCCTCCACCCATGTGGCCTGGGTTGCATCGCTTGGGTCTGACTTGCTAGAAATGGCCCATTCAAGCATTCCTCCATAGCCAGACCTAGAGGCGCTTTAAGTTCCGTCTTGGCCAAGATCTTCATGCAGGCCAAGCATCCAAAACAATCCAAAAACTATCATCCAACGTGCGGTAGATGCAATATACCAAACGACTCGTAGTTGCTTTTCAAGTGTACTAGCTTAATATCCGTGTGTGATCATGAAATAGCTTTCATTGATCAGACAACAATAGATTAAAAATCTCACTTTTAATAGTCATCCCAAATCCCTTTTTTGTTAAAATGACAAAACAATACAAACAAAAGGAGTTTCCACTTGTCCATGATTTGAATCTAGATTGCCGAATTAAATATAGAAAGGATCATGTCATCACGCAGACGACGAGGTTTTTCAACAACAATGCCTTCAGAAAGGAAGCGGTGCTCAATCGTCGTCGTCACTGGATCCAATTAAAATCTAGGTTTTCATCCCGAAGAACTAGTCTAAGCATATCTGAGCAATGCCTTCAACAAGGTAACAACATAGAACATCGCCATCGTCAGGTATAATAAACACATGTCAGACCTAGGCTTTCGACCTAGAGCTTGAGACCGGGTGCTTGAGCAGCAACACAATGAACGTCACTTATGTGTTGTCACCATACTTTTCCACGATCCAGCAGGTACATGCAATGTGTGATCATCGCCGCTACACAACCATCCATGTGCGTCAAATAATTGTCCATAGTTTACAACTCTCCACCGAAGTCAACCTCCAGATATAGAGGAAGGAACCTCGTGAAGACCTTTAGGCGGCTACAACAATCTGCAAAGAGTCTGGTGTCGTAGGCTGAGGTGGCGTAGATGATTGAGTGCTCCATAACAAAGATGATGAACGCCACTACCATCAAGGGATCAACAGTCCCACATTGGATCCGCTCCTGACCTCCAAGGCATGATGGCGCCGTCATCACGCTGGAGCCCCATGAAGCAGCTCCCCGATGGCCGAGCTGCCTCCAATCATTATGGATACAGCGACGGCGCCCACGCCCGATGTAAGCTCCGATGGCATTGGCAGATCGAGCAGAGTCGAGATACAACCACTTCGCACCTAGCATAGATCGAGCATAATCAGAATCCAGCCACTCCACCGCGACGCCCATGTCGCTGGTCCAGCCCACGGTCTCCCGCATTGCCGCAACCCGGAAGCCACGACTTGCATGCCACGCCCCACCGTACGACCCCACGACCTTCCCTCCCGGCACCTTCGGCGGCAAGAGGGCCCGCCGCCACCGCAACAACGGCCGGCGGAAGCGGTGGTTGGCGAGGACTACCCGATGGCAGATGTGTTTCCCTCGAGTCGCCCGAAGCAAGAGTGAGACGGGGTCAGGACGGTTTCTGAGGACCACGAGTTAGCAACGAAATGGAATACTATCTCTTTTTCCGAGAGTACGCAAATTGCGCGCCATAGCTTTATAGAAGAAGACAATTGCAAGTACAAGACGACTACCACTTGCTGCGAACAACGAGTGTAGTACAACTCCACATTCGGCTAGTCCATGGACTGTTGGGGAAAGTAGCATACAATTTCAAAAATTTCCCTATGCCCATGCAAGATCTATGTAGAAGATGCATATCAACGAGAGGGGGAGAGTGTGTCCACGTATCCTCGTAGACCAAAAGCGGAAGCGTTTGACAACACGGTTGATGTAGTCGAACTTCTTCTCGTTCCGACCGATCAAGCAATGAACGTACGATACCTTCGAGTTCTCCACACATTCAGCTCGATGACGTCCCTCGAACTCTTGATCCAACAAAGTGTCAAGGGAGAGTTTCGTCGGCACGACGGCATGGTGACGGTGATGATGAAGTGATCCACGCAGGGCTTCACCTAAGCACTACGACAATATGATCGGAGGCGTAAACTGTGGAGGGAGGCGCCGCACACGACTGTTCAAGCGATGCCCCCCCTCATATATATAGGTTGGAGAGGGAGGAGAGGCAGCCAAGGGGGCGCCCCAAGTAGGAGGAATCCTATTTGGGCGCCCCCCAATTCGGCCTCCCCCTTCCATATCCATCCGGAGGGGGGAGGAAGGAGGAGGGAGGAGGGAAGGAAGGGGGAGGCCGAATCCCTCCTCTTCCTTTCTCCCTTCTCTTCTTTTCTTCCCCCTTATTTCGGCCTACATGGGGCGCACCAGCCCCTTAGGGGCTGGTCTGTCTCCCTCTTGGCCCATTAAGGCCCATGTAGTTGCCGGGGGGATGCCCGGAACCCCTTCCGGTGACCCGATATGCACACGGTACCCCCGGAACACTTCCGGTGTCCGAATACCATCGTCCAATATATGAATCTTTACCTCTCGACCATTTAGAGACTCCTCTTCATGTCCATGATCTCATCCGGGACTCCAAACAACATTCGGTCACCAAATCACATAACTCATATAATACAAAATCGTCATCAAACGTTAAGCGTGTGGACCCTACGGGTTCGAGAACTATATAGACATGACCGAGGCACCTCGCTGGTCAATAACCAACAACGGAACCCGGATGCTCATATTGGTTCCCACATATTCTATGAAGATCTTTATCGGTCATACCATAATGATAACATACGTTATTTCCTTTGTCATCGGTATGTTACTTGCCCGAGATTCGATCGTCGGTATCTTCATACATAGTTCAATCTCGTTACCGGCAAGTCTCTTTACTCATTCCGTAATACATCATCCTGCAACTAACTCATTAGTAACATTGCTTGCAAGGCTTATTATAATGTGCATTACCGAGAGGGCCCAGAGATACCTCTCTGATACTCAGAGTCACAAATCATAATCTCGATCTATGCCAACCCAACAAACACCTTCGGAGATACCTGTAGAGCATCTTTATAATCACCCAGTTACGTTGTGACATTTGATAGCACATGTCGTGGAATTGTCACGGCAGATGTCCTAGCGAAAGGACTTAGTCGTAGGGCCATCGCAACTAGGAAGCTTAAAGGGGTTAATCGGGACAAAGGACACGAGAGGTTTTATACTAGTTCGGCCCCTTACGATGAAGGTAAAAACCTACGTCTAGTTGTGTAGGTATTGCTGGGGTTATTGGGGAACGTAGCAATTTCAAAAAAATATCCTACGCACACGCAAGATCATGGTGATGCATAGCAACGAGAGGGAGAGTGTTGTCTACGTACCCTCGTAGACCGAAAGCGGAAGCGTTAGCACAACGCGGTTGATGTAGTCGTACGTCTTCACGATCCGACCGATCCAAGTACCAAACGCACGGTACCTCCGAGTTCAGCACACGTTCAGCTCGATGACGTCCCGCGAACTCCGATCCAGCAGAGCTTCACAGGAGAGTTCTGTCAGTACGACGGCGTGATGACGGTGATGATGTTGCTACCGACGCCGGGCTTCTCCTAAGCACCGCTAAGATATGACCGAGGTGGAATATGGTGGAGGGGGGCACCGCACACGGCTAAGAGACGATCAACTTGTGTCTAGAGGTGCCCCCTGCCCCCGTATATAAAGGAGCAAGGGGAGAGGTGGCCGGCCTAGGAGGAGGGCGCGCCAAGGGGGGAGTCCTACTCCCACCGGGAGTAGGACTCCTCCTTCCCTTGTTGGAGTAGGAGAGAAGGAAAGAGGGGGGGAGGAACAAGGAAAAGTGGGCTGCACCCCTTGTCCAATTCGGACCAGAGGGGGGCGCGCGCCTCCTTCCTTTTGGCCTCTCTCCTCTATTCCTATATGGCCCAATAAGGCCCATATACTCCCCGGCGAATTCCCATAACTCTCCGGTACTCCGAAAAATACCCGAATCACTCGGAACCTTTCCGATGTCCGAATATAGTCGTCCAATATATCGATCTTTACGTCTCAACCATTTCGAGACTCCTCGTCATGT